ACAAATCAGTTTAAGTTGATGCCAGCTAACTTTTCTACATTCTAGGAGAGCAGGCATCGTTGCACACTCACAGAATTTAGGATGAGCTTGAAAAAGTGGCAAGATCTGAAAGTGCTTTAGTTTCATCAAGTGTTTCTCCTCCAGGGCAGATCCTGCTTCATGACTTGGTTACACTTGGTGACATTTTGAATACACTAAGCTGAGAAAAATCTGTTCCCTGATGAATGGGAAGGGGTTTTTTTAGGGGGATGGAAGGAGGAGATAATGGGGAAAAAAAAAAAGCCCCAAGAAAAATGCTGTAACTCTTTTGTTACTTATTGTCTATCCAAATATCTCATTTCAATCTCTTTACCCCAAATATCTCATTTCAATCTCTTTACCCCAAATATCCCATTTAAATATCTTTACCCCTTCATGATTTCTTTCCTGCCTCTTCAATAATTCCTCATGTCTGCTGCTAGGCAAGCTGGGTAGAATGTGATGGAAGTTCTCACTTAACCATGGGAGAAGCAAAGCTTCTACTGTGTAGGAGGGCTTGAGTACACATCCTTGCTCCCAGGGGAGCAAACATCCTTTCACATTCTCCCCACTGTAATTACATGGCCATGTGAATACAATTCTTTTATTTAATCTTGTTTTTTGAGGGTTTTTTTTTCCCACAGTATTTTTCTTTCAGATCTGCTCCTTTTCTCTACGGAGCTTGTGTCCTAATTCTTTCTGGAAGAGGTTTGACCCTCTGTGCTTTATGACGATATAGTTGTCTCCATGGGAAGCTGGTCTGACAGAATATACTAAATGATTGCAAAAGGAATGAGTGGAACTTAAAACAGTAAGAAATCTTCATAGAATCATAGAATGGTTTGGGTTGGAAGGGACCTTGAAGATCATCCAGTTCCAACCCCCCTGCCAGCAGCAGGGACACCTTCCACTAGACCAGGTTGCTCAAAGCCTCATCCAGCCTGGCCACAAACACTTCCAGGGAGGGGGCATCTACAGCTTCCTTGACCAACCTGTTCCAGTGTCTGACCACCCTCACAGTGAAGAACTTCTTCCTAATATCTCATCTAAACCTCCCCTCTTTCAGCTTAAACCCATTGCCCCTTGTTTTGTCATTAACTGCCCTTATGAAAAGTCCTTCCTCAGCTTTCTTGTAGGTCCCCTTCAAATCTTAAGGGGTTACAAGATACTTTTAATTTAGCTATCACTGATACATGCCTAGTTTGGGTGTTAATATACCAAGTATAGTGTCAGTCATCCCAAGACCTCCATTTTACTGCAGTCATGGCTGAGGTAAGGCAATACATCCTATTTTACTATACCTGGAAGAAATGAGTCAAAAAAGCTGCAGTAATTTGGCCAAAATCACACCACACGTTAGTGTCAAACCAGAACGTAAATTTCTTGATGCCCAATATTAGAGAGACCTCTCAAAGCCAAATACTTGAATGATGATTCAAGTATTTCTGCCCCTCTGCTCCGCTCTCGTAAGGCCCCACCTGGAATACTGCGTCCAGTTCTGGAGCCCCCAACACAAGAGAGACCTGGAGCAGCTGGAACAAGTCCAGAGGAGGCCACGAGGATGATGCCAGGGCTGGAGCAGCTCTGCTGTGAGGACAGGCTGAGAGAGTTGGGGCTGTTGAGCCTGGAGAAGAGGAGGCTCCGGGGAGACCTTCTAGTGGCCTCCCAGTACCTGAAGGGGCTCCAGGAAGGTGGGGAGGGACTTTGTCCAAGGGCAGGGAGTGAGAGAACAAGGGGTGATGTCTTGAAAGTGTCAGAGGGGAGATGGAGCTGAGATGTGAGGAAGAAATTGTTTGGTGTGAGGGTGGTGAGCCAGTGTCCCAGGTTGCCCAAGGAAGTTGTAGATGCCCCCTCCCTGGAAGTGTTTGTGGCCAGGCTGGATGAGGCTTTGAGCAACCTGGTCTAGTGGAAGGTGTCCCTGCTGCTGGCAGGGGGGGTGGAACTGGATGAGCTTTAAGGTCCCTTCCAGCCCAAGCCATCCTGTGATGATGCTGTGACCTGGTGAGAGAGATTTTCCTTGTTCTGTGGCCCCTTATGTGATGTAGAATGAAAGACCAACATTGGAAACATAATTCTGTGTGTGTTACACAAGAGCAGAATTACAGACCACACTTCCCTTTAGCTTCATCCTTTTGGAAGATGGAAGAGGGCAGACAGTGTTGGGTTGAAATGCTGACCTGTGACTTGAAGGATAGTTCAGGTTCTTGCTTTGCCTCAGGCTTCCTTGTGTAGTCTTGGGTAATTCTCTGTCAGCAAGTACAGCCTATGAAATGGAGTAAAACCAGCTCCTGATTCGACAGTGATGTTGTGAGGATGGAAGGATTGAAATGTTCTCATACATCCATAGTCTGACCCTCTTGAGTGTTTTTGTTCTGCTTTTTGACTTCAAATTTGCAGTTGGGCAGAACCTCCCATGGCGTTTGGAGCGTGTTCCATGTGGTGCACAGCATTTCACAAGCGGGTTCAACCTGCTTCCACCTTAATGACAGTAATTAGCCCAGTTTCACGTCCATGTGATTTTCCCCATCACTAAGCAGACTTTTCCTCTACTCATACCTTACATAGCTCTTCTTTACAACTCATCTGTAAAGATCCCTCAAGCTTTTTTTACTCCTTCTGTCCAAATTGTGACAAAATGCCTCTTTGTAGGTGACCTATTTGAGTAAAAGTCTGGGACGTTTGGAGTGTTTCAGTCCACTCCTTGACATCGCTTCTCCTCTTTATTGTGAGACAGACAGAACCATCCAGGTGGACGAATAAATTTGGCTGTAAATTATTCCATGTAATTCTTAAATTTTGTAGGGGATTGAGTCAGGAGCCATTTCACAACTCGAACATAACAGACTTAGAATCCCAGACTGGTTTGGGTTGGAAGGGACCTTAAAGATCATCCAGTTCCAACCCCCCTGCCATCAGTAGGGACAACTTCCACTAGACCACGTTGCTCAAAGCCTCATCCAACCTGGTCACAAACACTTCCAGGGAGGGGGCATCCACAACTTCCTTGGGCAACCTGTTCCAGTGTCTGACCACCCTCACAGTGAAGAACTTCTTCCTAATATCTCATCTAAACCTCCCCTCTTTCAGCTTAAACCCATTTCCCCTTGTTCTGTCATTAACTGCCCTTATCTTCTTCTCAGTCTGCTTAGCACGAATAATTTCATCGCTCAGATCTAAAATCAAAGTTCTGTGCTTGGCCTTTCTGTTGCATTCCCCATGCTGAGAGTGTTCGAGTGCAGGAATCTCAGTGACCTGATGCATTTCTCCATGGCACTTACATTTCTACCAGGAATACAGAGACTTCTTACAGCACCGAGTCAGCTTCAGAGCTCTTGCTGCTGTTGCAGCTGTGTGGGAGGAATGGCATGAAGCACAGGCTCAGGCAGGTTTTGGGCTTTGCAGCTGATGTTCCAGCTCCTACTGAGAGCAGAGAAAAATCTGAGTCTCCAGCAATTAGTCAGCCAAATTGGAATCCTGACTTGTATATATGGTATAAAATCATAGGAGCTTTGTAGCTTTCCTTATAGATTCACAGAATGGTTTTCTCCGTAGCTGAGAGAATTACCTCTTACCTCTTTGATGATTCTTTTTAAATCAGAAGGAAAATAACCGTGTCCTGGGCTGCACCCAGAGCAGCGTGGGCAGCAGGTGGAGGGAGGGGATTCTGCCCCTCTGCTCCGCTCTCCTGACACCCCACCTGCAGTGCTGCCTCCAGTGCTGGGGCCACCAACAGCACAAGGACATGGAGCTACTGGAGCCAGTGCAGAGGAGGCCACCAGGATGATGCCAGGGCTGGAGCAGCTCTGCTGTGAGGACAGGCTGAGAGAGTTGGGGCTGTTCAGCCTGGAGAAGAGAAGGCTCTGGGGAGACCTTCTAGTGGCCTCCCAGTACCTGAAGGGGCTCCAGGAAGGCTGGGAAGGGACTTTGTCCAAGGGCAGGGAGTGAGAGAACAAGGGGTGATGGCTTGAAAGTGTCAGAGGGGAGATGGAGCTGAGATGTGAGGAAGAAATTGTTTGGTGTGAGGGTGGTGAGCCAGTGTCCCAGGCTGGCCAGAGAAGCTGTGGCTGCTCCTCCCTGGAAGTGTTCTCGGCCAGGTTGGATGAGGCTTTGAGCAACCTGGTCGAGTGGAAGGTGTCCCTGCTG